AGTGAGCTGCCATCCGCTGGACAGCACAACACAACGTGACATAACCACTACCAAAACGTATCCATAGAGTGGCTAGTCCAAGAGCAGCACACTGATGAAGGGGTAGTTGATAATGCAAGGGAGAAAGGCTGTCTCTAGAAGGAAGCTTTTTAATTTACTGTGCTTCTGACACTGAGAGTGATCTGCTGGCTTGATTTTTTTACAGGAATCTAAGCAGAGAAAGTGGATTGTGTTTGTAATGGAGAAAACAATAACAACAGAAGCAGAGTTTAATGGCTCATATCCATTAAAAATAAAAGAAAACTTAAATTCTAGAAAGGAAATTACTTGAAATGTGCACACCAAATATCAACTGCCTTATTTATAAGTACTTTCTGTTGTAGCAAACAATGTAGCATATAAGAATTTTATGTAGAGGTGAAAATGAAAAATCAAACATATAACATGAACAGGGAGATATAAAGTATTAAAATTCTGTAAAGGTATTGTTAAAAATCCTATTTTGGTTACTGTCTAGATATGAACACATCTGACTAGTTATAAAGATAGAAAGATATAGATAGAGATGTAGTAGCACGTGTGTCAATATTGGCTTACATGTATGTATGTTTGATTGAATGGTTGATTGGTTTGCATTTTATCTGTTTAAAAGCTTTAGATACATCAGTTTTAAAGGAAGGCCACAAAGGTGGAATATGAGAAAGGATATGATAGAGTGCGCCTCCCTCCAAAGGCAACAGATATAGGAAGATTTGAAAGTTACCAGTAAAGTTTCTGGCCCCTACAAATTTGCCCCACAGAAGCATCTTGCTCTTGCTAGAGACCAGGGACTTCTGAAACTGAGATTTTCTGGGGTACTGTTTTAATCCTGAGACTGAATGAGCCCAAAGGATTTGATTGCCTAGTTTGACTGTGGAGGCTGAGGTTCCCAGGCATTCCAGGGCAACACTGCCAGGGAAGATGGTAGCTTGGTAGACTGAGGATTCTGTAAGCAATTTGGGAGTGCCTTGCCCTCATCACTTTAAGTATGTGTCATGGGCAGGAAAGGAAGAAGACAAAGAAGACTGGGGCAAATGAGCCACATAGGAAATGTGTAATGATGGAAGCACTATATTCAGGATGCTTGAGCTCAGTCAACACTATACCAGATTATTTCCCCCAATCCGGGCCATCATTTCTCACTGATATAGTGAAATAGTTATATGGTGGAATAAATTTACGTGGTTTTATTTTCTCTCTGTTAAAGATAGCTCTATAGTTTCTGCTAAGTATTTCTCTCAATGACCACTCTGAATCCCACCCTGCAAAATTGACAGGGTAAGTAACTCTTCTGAAATAGAATGTGAAATAGGGAAAAAGATAGGGATGGGGTCAGAGCCTGCTAGTCTACATTAAACATTAGAAGTATTTTTTAATTAGCTTCTCATTTGGCCCACACAGCAAGTCTTCTGTTTGAGACTCAGAGATAGGTAAATTGTTCAAGTGACAAAGATAATAAATAAAATTTTAAATTTAAACTTAATTTTAGATTCTCATGAAAGCTCTTGTCAGAAGTAATAGTCTAGCAAGAATGAGAAATGGTCATGAAAGGCAGATACCATCCTAGCTGACTCCACCTTTCAGTATCTGTCAGGCCCCGAGTCACTTGGGAGAGTTGGGTCCTGGGTTGGGCAAAGGGACAAGGTGTGCCAGATATTTGGCCCACCCCTGGCCTAAGCCAGGTCCTCTCCCTGCTAAGTAGTCTAACTCACATCAGATTTGACCTAGAAAATTTTAAAAATAAATAGATAACCCTAAATAGAATTAAGCATAATATCTAAAGCCAACATGAAAGTTTTTATCCTAATTATCTCACCATTGCTGGGGCAGTATCTCTGGTAGCTCTTGCCAAATGCCTGGCCCTTTCCTGAGATTCTGCTTCTTTTTCCCTGAAAGAGGGCAAAAAAGAATATAATTTGGTCATGCTCACCCAATGTTTACAATTACTTACATTATGATCTGAATTTTGCCTTCAGAGCCACAAAGTCAGGCATGTTACCGTTAGCGGGAGGGAGTGTATAGTACCCACAGGGCTCGTGCAGTGCTCAGCAATATCTCAGACAAGACTCTGTTCATCAATGCAAGAATCGCAATACGGACCATGTCAACCAACTATCTCCCTTCACTCCTTCCAACAACCCAGTGAATCTGCTGCTTGCATTAGACCTAATCTGTAGGATCCACAGAAACAGTTATCCTCCTCTTCTAAATGCGGTCCTTCAGGAATGTATTCCTTGAACAGCCTCCTCCTTTTCATATTAAGGTACTTAGTTGGTGTCAGTAGAATTTACATAGATAACAAAAATTATAAATAATAGCCTCAATGACCTTCATAATGGCAAGCTGTCTTATGTGTTTTAGGATGGTTTGTTTTAAAATATAATTAAATGCCATTTATTTTCCAGTATTATATTCATAGTATGAGGCTCCTATTGAAAGGAGCATCCAGTGGACAAGGAAAAAGCTATAGTTAATAATACAACTGTTGCTTTATCATCAAAGAGGACAAGAAAGGATGGTTCGCATGTCCCTGTGTCCTCCTCCCTCAACCTTGCTTTGCCTTCTTTTACTGTCCCACAGTCTTTTCACTCAAGACAATGCGTGTGATTAGATCTCCATCACCCCAATACTATTGAATATGCCAGATTAAGTCCCCTGACACATATCATCTGGCATTTTAAACGACAATTATCATATAATTATCTTAAGTGAGTAAGCTTAGCATTGGCTTGGCACCAGTGTTAAAGTTTTGTCCAATGTCAGAAACTGAAGATAACTTCCCTGTTCAACAAATAATTAGGGTTAGAGATTTTTAATTGATAATTCAAGTTCTCATCCTTCTTTGGGTATTATTGAAGAGCGATAAATCCAAATAGGCAGCTTTGGATAGATATGAGTAAACTACACCTTCCGGATGTTAGTTCTTTCTGGCAGACTCGGGCCTTTCCAGTTAGCTTCGGTCTAGCTCATCTTAGCATTCATTCCAAATGTCTAAGCCACTGGCAGCATACACAGACAGAGTGCATCTTGCTTACAACCCTTTGCGAGTTTAAGGCTCCCAGGAGTAGGTGGCATCATTCCCAAGAACCTCTTCTCAGCCTTGAGGTAACAACAGAGTCAGGTTGTAACAGGTCTAAGGAGGCTACTTTCTCTCTGGAGTTTTTTCCCCGGAACCGGGAACACAAAGTGGAACTACATTCACAAAAGACTCTTGTGCTGCTAACACCAGACCCTCTGGAATGTTTTTGGATTACCAATTCAGTGATTGGTAAAGTCTTTCCAGGTAGTTGCCAATTATCCAACTTTACCTGATGGGAGCTGTCAGAATGTGAACTGCGAAGCACTTGTGTTTAGCTTTACAGATTTTGAAAAACACATTTGAAAACAATACACACACAAATTTGATGGACACTCACAATAGAACTTTGCACTTGGTACATTTTTGAATGAGCATTATTCCATCGAGGCTTTCAAAAAGATTTTTATCCTGGGGGCAAAATAATTTCCCAGTTTTCATGAAGGCTCGAAATTCATCACATGTTTCCTGTAAGATAAAAACAAACAACTTTGTTTACTTAAATCTCATCAAAGTAAGGTCTTTACGTTCTAAGAAGAATTTTATTGAGCATCGTAACATCATTTCCTGCCTTGATATGGATGGTATTTACTCAGGTGATAGAAATACACAACAAAATAATGCCTTTACCTTTTCTGTTGAAGATTTCTTGCTTAGCGTTAAAACAATTAGTAATGGGAATTGGTGTCCAGGGACTTGGAGTCAAAAGGTACGAACTTATATCTCAGAATTCTCATGTATCATCCTAGAGCCTTAGCACGTTAGCTATCTATAACAGCAGGCATGTGCACATATACATTTTACAGGTTTTCTGAAAATAAAATATTGTAAGTATGTAGATGCTCAGCAATCGTCGATATTCAGTAAGCAGACTTTCTACTTTCTTCTCCTTTATTATTAAAGTTGGGTTATTTTGTTACTGATGTCATTATTACTATTATTAAACGTGCTAAAGAATACAGATAAGAAACAAACAAAAATAATAAAAAATTAAAAGAATACAAAAAAGCTACCTACAATAGTAATGCGATAATAAATGCCCTAACAATGAACATGAAAAGGTTATTGGAGGACTGGTACAAAGTACGTGGGCGTAGAGAACTGTAAAGTGCCTCTGGCAAATTTCCCAAACTTCAAGGTAACGCTGAGAAATACTTATAATCGATCAATGAAAAAATTAATCATTCATTGCTAAATAAAGAGGACTCCTTGGTTAGATATATTTTGAAAATATATTTCTCCATGTCTACCCTAAATGCCTGCCAGGTGTGATGGAGAACTTAACAAAGGTTGTTCTTTCAAAGTGGGTCCCTTTCAACCTGGGAGGCAAAGATCTGTCAGGTGCCACTCAGTCTTTTCTAGGAGCTGAAACATTATAATCCGATTTACATAACCTGGTAAGACACACACTGAAAAAACTGTATTTCCTACAGAACATTCACTAGGTCTTTAGAGCAAGTCTTTAAATTCAAAGTTATTGTGTTCTGTTTTGTTTTGATTTTGCCAAAAACAATCTGCTTAAATATTTTCTGCAAAATAAATATTTTTTGTTTCAACTATGACAAGCACTACAGAAACTTCTAAATAATTAATTTATAAAATTCTATAACACCTTTATAATAACTATCCAATAAATTAACACACTTCAAATCAGATTGTATTGTTCCAGGCCCTTTGCTGGGTACTGTGGATATAGCAGCAAATAAAACAGGAGAGTCCTTGCCCAAGTCCTTCCCGTTTAATGGATAACGATGTACCTAGTCTTTCCTCTTATACAGAGTAGATTAAACAGAATATTCATAGAATTATTCATGGTGAAGAAGAACTAAATGTATTAGAGACTAGTCATGGGAAAGTTTTCTAAGGGTGATCTATTAAAATATCTCCAAGTTAATTATCGCCACCTAGTAATTTAGTCTGAGTGGCACAGTAGTGATTCTGGCAACAAATGGAGACCTGGATCTCATAAACTGATTATAATATCTATCGTATGCTAAATATTCAAGCTGCTGCCTAACATGCCAGCTATAGCTGATTCTAGAATTTCTATATAAAAACTTGAACATAGAACTAAAGATGAGCCTAATGTTTTTGTCATAGTAACATGGCTTGCAGGGGAGCTATTAGATTGATACTGAGAACAAAGACTCAGGATATCACTGGCACAAAGCTCTACATCATTTCTGCTGGCTGATCAAAATGCCATAGCATGAACGAGAGTAAGTCCGGGAATGGGATTTCTCCAATGTTACAATTGATTGAGACCTTAATTCCTAGTAAGACCGATTCACTTTACAGATAAGCAAACCGTAGCTCAGAGAGTTGGTTAAGAACCTTACCGTGTTAAGCTAGTGATTTATAAAAACGGGGTTCAATAGTATTGTATCTGTGTGTCATGAAATTATTGATTTATTCTTTGGGAGAACAGGATAAGACCATGGAAAATCAAAACAGTAGTTGTTTTTGTGGGAAACAGGATACCCTCCCAGTTACTAGAATAGAGAGGGTTGGAAATATAAGGTTTAAACTAAAAAGATATCCTGAGGTCATGAAATGACTTTTTAGCGATTGTTTTCTTGCATTCTACATCCAGCCTCTGGTTTATTTTGTTTTGTTTTACTTAGGGTTCTTGTCATTGTTGTTTTTCTCTACATGTCTCGGAAATGCTGGAGGCCAAGATCTTTCTCTTTGGTTGTGATCAAATTTGTTGTCTTCTGCCCAGACACTCTAATAATGTCCCTGAGCGGCTGGTGTCCCCAAACACAGAGATTAGGGAACTAACAAGTTACCTTGGGGCTTCCCAATAACTTTGCTGTGATGAAATCCTTGTAGGTTAGGATAATACTTTTCTGTGCTATCTTGGTTCGGAGTAAACATTAAACATGGATTTTATCATGCCTGAAAGATTCTGAGCTAATAAACTTGAGAAATAACAAAGATTCCAACACTGTAAAAAAAAAAGACCAAGTCAAGAATTTTCTGGTATGCCAGAATATTCGTAGATAATCACAGGGTTTCAGAGAAATCATTTTCCTTGCTTTTCTTGTTTATACCAACCAAAGAGGTAGCTAACTTTATGTTTCTAGAGTATTTTTTCCATTGAAATACACTTTAGTAGTAAAAAAAGGTACAAATATTTCAAGCACCCACCAGAAACCATTAAACATTGTTATTGATCTAAAAGAGAGAAAGATGATGATGGCATTGTGAGATTCATACAAGCCCTTCATTTCGCTAATATACTCCAATCGAATGTGCTCTCTGGTCCCCCAAGCTCCAGGCTTCTTCTCACTCTGTGATACTTTCTATACCTCTCCTTAATTAGAAAACTTAGAGGAAATAATATTGATAGAATTCTGTAGAAGATTCCTGCTTTTAAAAAATGATACATTAAAATATAACATTATTTTAATCATTGAGCAAGCTGTTTCGCATTAGTAAAGTGTCATTTCACTTTTCTATATTATTTTCCTGTCCATGCCCTTTGAGAGCCCTCTCACTGCCAAGGAGTAGATTCTCACTCCGTGACCATGGAGGACACAGCAGAACTCTTCTTGGACTGTAAATCTTTGTGGGAGTAGGAAAGCCTCATTTTTTTTCTCTTCGTGGTGGCCAGTGGGTTTGAATTGCTGACCTTTAGGTTAACAACCAAAGCTCAACCTACTAAGCCACGAAAGCTGCATGCTATACACCTTGCACCGCACGAATTAATGAGTGTGTGTATGTGTGTGCAATTGGCACATTTAGCTAGTCTTTCAAATAGAAAAACTTGTTTATCGAAAATGACTAATTCTCAAAGCAAAGACCTTGGAGAACTGATAAAGCAGCCTCCTGCCCTAGTCCCTCTGCTGCTGCTGCTGCTGCTGCTCCTATGGCCTAGTCAGCTCTGTGCGGCTCATTGCCTCATCACCTCCAGCTTGTTCTCATGCCATTCTGTCAGGAGAATTCACCTGACTGTCCCATTTAGAACTGATACCATTGCCACGCCTAGCCATATTTATCCTCCATCCTTCATTTTTCCCCTCCCAGTACAAATCATTATTTGATATGGCAGATACGTCCCTAATGTCCCTATTAACTTGTCCATTGTCCCTCACTAGAATATAAGTTCCAAGAAGGTGGAGATTTTCCTCTATTTACTTCGAATGTCCCCAACATCTCAAAGTATGTCAGACACATAATAGATCCACTCTCATTGGCTCAATTCCAACTCATAGCAACCTGATTTAACCCTCTGTCAGTCTGTAGCAGACAAGCTCTTCTTTCCCCCAGGGTGGGCTTGAGTGGGTTGCTGAGTTTAAACCCCTCACCTTCTGGTTGGCAGTCCAGAGCTCGCCTGAGCGCATCGCCAAGGCTCCCTAACAGATGTCCGAGTCATTGAAGGAAATGAACATTGACTCAAAGTTACAGATAATCCTGCTTCTTATTAAAACTTCCACAGGATTTGTTTAGCTTTCTATCTGTGCTCCGGCTCTTCCCGATTTAAGCTGAATGACAGTAATTTACCAGGTGGTTTCACTTCTCACTGGTTTAGGGAATGTAAAATATTTTTTCAGGAGGGTGGGCTGCCTCTCCAAGACATCCACCACCCTTCCCTCATTGGTTTTTCTGCGTGAGGTATACATGTCTTGATAAATGAAAAACTGTCTCTTTTTCTGTGGGGGGATTTTTTTTTAGTAAGTTTTTTTTTATTAGTTGGGATTTAATACATATAACATATCATTCCATATTTCAATCACATCAATTGCTATCGCAGTTTCCAAATATTCTTTTTCTACATGGACTCCTTGACATTCTCTCCCTTTTAACCCCCTCTTCATGACTATACCTCTCCCCCTCCCCTCCTTAGTCTACTTGCTGTCCCCATAGGTTTATAAGTCCTGGGTTGCATACACCAAAAAATGGGAAAGCACCTGTGTTTTTAATGACAGTGATTAGTACCCATCAAGAGAATAGGTGTGTGCGCATTATCAACCATAGGTGTTGGCTACCAGCCAGCTCTCTTTAGGGATCACGAGTGGAGTCAATGCATAGAAGAAGCAGGACTAACCTGATTTTCATCCGCACTGACAGCATCTGGGATACAAATACAGAAACCAAAGTTAAGGGAATGTGAAATATTTAATAAATAAAAGAAAGAGTTCACTCAGGCAGGTTCTTAATTGCTTTGCAAAACCACAAATTACTTTTAAAGATATTACAATTAACACGACAAATAAAATGGGAGCACTGGGCTAGCTGATGAGTGTGTTCACCCACCAAGGTCCAATAACACATGAAGATAAAAGTGTCTTGAAAATAATATTCAATGGCTTGCTGAATTTCCAAAAGGCCCTTTGAAAGTAAAATATGGCAATTCCTCTTTTTAAATGATAATGTAATGTATGACTACTGACTAAAATTTTTAAAATACATAATGCTGATTGCAATAATATTAAATATATAATATAGTACTATTTTTATATGTGTATATGCACACATAAAATTTTATGTTCTGGATTCTGATGACTCAACTGCCTTTTTACAGCTACAAAAATTATGGAAAAAATGAAGATCATTACAAGTCTCTAAACTACTATACTCTAACAGATTCTTCTATATATACCTACTTCCATTAGGAAAGTGAATAATTATGTTTGTAATGAACTCACTGACTCTCCATCTCTGAGATTCTCTTTAAAATATGTAAATGCTTCAGAGAAAGATAGGTTCAAGGAACCTTTATTCCTCTCCAAATCAAATAGCAGATGCAAAAAGGTAGCTCCAAACATATATGCCCTTCACCCTGTAGGAGAAATGCCTACAGTTTGTTTAGAATTTCAAATCACATGATTAGGACATACTATAAAGCACCACTGCTTTAAAAAATAACAAAGTATTTCATATTTTAGAACTATTTGTACCTATGATGATGTATATGCTATATCTATATCTATATCTATATATCTATATATAAAATATTAAAATATGTCTTGCATGCATATTGATAAGCCTGAAAAGGGATAATAAAAATGAATCTATTCAATTTTTAGGGCTAATAGAAAAGTAATGGAAAGGTTTCTCATGGATACATTTCAATGTATCTCTATTTGTCATTTCTAATGAGAGCAACATGGTTGTAGAGTCATATATAATTATCCCAATAATTATTCTAAACACCAACAGGATATTTAAGTATCTACTTTACTTTTATTTTACTTTTTGTAGTACAAATCCTTCCTCAAGGCTTGAGCTGTGTGGTAAGAGGCTTAGTCTGCATGCAAATTGCTCACCTTGTATGAGGCTGAGACCCAGGGTCACCAGCACTGCCACTGTAACCATCTTCATGATGCCGATGATGTAAGTTGGTTACAAGTCTGCTCTGTGGGTTGCTCAGCTGGTGTTCTAAGACTGAACCCGTGGAGAGGGAGCTCACTTTTATATTAGGAACGGTTACACCCACATCCCACATTGCAAAACCAGTTGTACAAGGTCGTGCTCTACACCAGTCTATGTTCCATCCGACAGGGATCTTGCCATGGTAGCAAATTTGAACAGAACATTTCTACGCCTAAAATAGCAAAGTGTTTTCATGGAACCTCTCCCAGAGGGCAGCAGCTTGATTCCAAAGACCCTTCTTAAAGTGGAATACCTCATAGTCTTATATGACCACTGAATTTCTCGGTAACACCAGGAGCCAGGTATGCTTCTAACTGGGCTTCTTCATAATTGGGAAGGGAGGGCAGAAAGAAGACAGAGTAGGTATCCCATCAGTTAGATAAAAATGTCCACATCTTGAGGAAACCTCTTTTAGAGAGAGAGCCTAGTGTCCCCATTGCTGTTGTGGAGTGTCTGAATTTAGCATCACAGACTCACACATTAAACACTGGATACTCTTAGGAGACAAGTTAGCCAAATTCTCACGGACAATGTATGGAGAAATGGAAACTCAGAGAAAAGAGAACAATTTGAATAGAAAGGGCAGACCTGGCATTTGGAAGTAGACCATATGTTCAGTATTCTTTCCCTTCCACACACTTCTTCACCATCACACATTAATGAAAGTAGATATCGTGTGGAATCAAAGCTTGCATATAATAAAACATTTTCATATCTCCATCTAAATGATATTGTACACCCTGAAACCTAATCTTATATTCTAAGCAAAACATTCCTAATTGTTAATAAGATGATAGACTCAAGTATTATATTTGACAGTCCATTATTTTCAAAATGATGTCTGAAAACTTTGACTCAATCAGTTTTCCCCAATATAATTTTTGTATTGCCTTATTATCTAGCTCTCAAGAAGAAAAAGAATAAATAAAATAGTGGGCAAACTGTAAATATAATTTTTTCTAGAGAAATAATTCTCTCTTTAATCCATTCTTCATTTCTGCTAGTCATTCCTTTGTCTGTCACCTAATTTTACTCTACCAGTAAGAGGGCAGGCAAAGACTCACATCAAGAGGACTCAAGCCATGGCCGGAGGTCTGTTTGCAGTACTTTTCAGGACATCCTCACAAATGTAGGAAAAACAATGCAGAAAACATTTTTGAACTCTGAGATCAAAGGCCTTCTAAAATTTGTACCTGGAAACTGATCAAGGCTGGTCTGCTTTGGGATTTTCAATATTTTAGAAAAACATGAAAGCCAGGGTATTTCCTGTCCCTTATCCAAGATATAATTTGCTTATTATAAGTTATCACTCATTTCAAGATCTGCCTTATATAACAAGGAAATTCACTTATTTTCTCATGCTTCTTTAAAAGCAGTGATTATGGAAAGTAAATTGAAATTGCAGTACAGGTTAGAAAATTGAAATCCATGAGCGCTTACTAGAAATCGCATGGGCCCATGAGTCAGGAAATCTAGTTATCTTCTATCGTTATAATTCTTCCTTGTAATGGAAATGAATCTTGCTTTCCAACTAGGTATAAAAGGTTACAAATCTTTCACTGATTACTAACTGCATTGCCTTGGGCAAGACCCATATTTTCTCTACGTGCCTGTGTTCGCCCTTTCTCACTTTTCAATATGGTTAGGTTCCACAGCCACGCTGTTAAATGGAAACATACGATGCTGTATCAGGTCACAAAATGGAGGATAATTGTGTCATTACATAGCTGAACATGGCTGAAAACCATGCCCCAGCGCGATTAACATACAGTGTTGACCATCACAGCCACCGGCACTCCCCCTTCACAGCTTGGTGCTTGTTAGTGGCAGATGTACGTCCGTAACGCACAAAATAGTCAGACAGTAGATTGCCTACTATTATCTTAAGTGTGAAACGTGAGGAAAGGGTACTACTGATAAATAAAGAGGGTTTCTTGTTAGCTGCTACTGGCCGGCTTTCAGCTCATGGAGACCCTACAGAAAGTAGACTGAGGCAGACCCTGGTGGTGCGCCCTCCTCTCAGTCATGGCTGCGCGTGAGCCCGCCGTGGCGCGTTCACTCCAGCTCACTGATGGTCGCCCGCTTCTCAATGACCCTCTACGCCTCCAAACACGCGTTCTTCTCTAGGGACTCGTCGCTCCCGATCATTTGTCCCAAGCGCTGCCATCTCACAAGTTTAAGGAGCATGCTGGTTGTTCTCCATTCCTGCCAAGATATATTGGTTCACTTTTTGGCAGTCCACGGGATGTTCAATAATTTCTCGCCGATGCTGAAATTGAAAGGCATCAATTCGGTTTTGATGATCTTCTTTACTGATGGCCCGGTTTTCCCACGCAGAGGAGGTGAATGAAAAGAACATGGCCTGGGGTCTTAGTCCGCAAAGGGTCTTCTCGGCTTTTAAACGCGTCAGAGATGCGTCAGAGATCTTATGGGAGATGTAGGCGTGTTTCTCTCCATTCTTAGGCTCGGATATCATTAGAATGATGTGCTTATTATGGTACGGTCTAGGATCTAGAAATTGTCAACACCTCCTGGTCTGGGAACTCAAGCGGAGATTTAAATTTATTCAGGAAAGAATAATTCTACAATACATTCTGAAGTGAAGGTGAAGCATAAAGACAATGTCTCGCTGGTCACTCTGTAACCATATTCTAAAACACAACATATAAAAATAAATCAAAGAATTGGCTATTTAAAACTTGGCAAAGTCATGGCTATTCTAAGGTTCGCTCAATCAACCATTCCTTGTGTGTGTCTGTTAAAGCCTTTTCAAAAATGTTGGCATCTTAATGCTAATTTTTAGAAAAAATGTTTTCATTTGCTTTCTGGACCATGTGGGATGCACTGCATTTGTACTCTCTGCACTTGGTGGCAGAAAAGTTTCATGCCTAACAATCGAATTGATGGCTATGTAATATGTTCTGATGACCCCAAATCTAGCCTAAATGGACATTTCTAAGATAGGAAGTGGTGTGAGGGTGGAACAAAAGAAGCATATGATGATGCCTCTTTAAAGAATGTCTGCTATGAGGAAAAGATGAAGGAGTGAATTTCCTTCTGACAGGAAAAGAGCTTCTCATGGACACCCTCAGAGTCTTCTGCAGTTTGCAATTAATAACCTCTTCCAAGAGAAGATGGTTCCAGAAGAGTCAGCGAACATCCTCAATAATGGAAGTCCTCCAGGATTCATAGCGTCAGGGATTTCTTCCAATTTTAATTCAGAAATATTGTGAATATAAGTTCATCTCTATTAAGTTCTCCTTGATTCATCTCCATTAAGATACTTCATCTCTATTAAGTATTCCTTGTTTCTAACAAGCACATAATTTATACAGAAATGAATGGAATTTGGGTTTCAGAGATCTGAGGTATGGGTCAAAATTAGGTAGAAGATTACTGTTCTCAAATCCCAAATTCCAGGCTTGTTTCAGCTTTCAATTATTCATCAAGCACATAGAACGAGCTTTCCTCTCATTGAAGTGGGGTGTGATTCGAATCTGAAAAATACAAGCTTTGCGTGACTACAGATATGGCAAATGGCCTTGAACCTTCACTCACATGAAGGATGTTGACAACGGAAGAAGAGATAAGACTATATTCTGGTAAACAAGTGTTTTGAAGACCAATAATTTGACTGAAAGTGAGCCTTGGTGGCACAAATGGTTAAACGTTCCACTGATAGCCAAAAGATTGACAGTTCGAATCTTCCCAGCTGTTCTCCATGAGAAAGACTTGGTGATTTTCTGTAAAGATCTTAGCAAAGCAAGCCTTACAGAGTAGTTCCACTCTGTCCCATATGGTTCCTGAGGCAATCACGCCATTGCACCAGGTAATAGCAACAATGACATCACTGAAGAACGGGGAATTGTTCATTGTCTTATTCTTATTTTCCATATACAGAGATCTTTGGAAGTGATCACTTAATATTTAACTGTAGTGCCTTACATTAACTGAATGTCTGCAAGGTTCAAAAACTATCTGCTGTTAACTAGCTCTCAGGCACGGTAGTGCCTGCCTGGCCATTTCTTCGCCTTGTACAGCTTTACTGTCTCTGAGTCCCTGTGGCCACCTCAGAGCCTTTCAAAAGTTTCATAGAGAATCCAGACACACGATTGCAAGGGATTACAATTTCTCTCACACTGTATATGGAGAAACTGGGGTCATCAAAAGAATAGTCGCTTGACTAAAATTGCACGACTGATCAAAATCATAACAGTTAATAGTTAACAGAATTCATTATTCTGGAACCAGGTCTCTCCTCATACCAATATAGTTCTTTGCCCTAATCTGCTCTTTCTTATTTTCTCTTTAGATTACCTCTATAGATGACCTATCCTCCTACCTCTTTCTTTCACACACACACACACACACACACACACACACCTAAATATACAGCATGAACTCATAAATCACATGGGCAAAATTTAGGTGATATAATCTTGACTGAAAAGTATATGTTCTAATAGATTTTGGAATATGAAAACATTTATGTCTTGCATTGTATGTTCATTCTTATTCTCTTTATTATAATTCCCTTTTTGTTTTGCCCCACTAATCCAACCTATCTGTATTTGCATTTTTGAAAAATACTAATTTGACAACAGCCATTATGATCCACCTTCTCATCTTGAAATGCTCCATGAGCCACTAGCTTCTCTTCCTCCATGAGACTTCTTTTCTGTTTTTGCTGGAAGGACCTAGACTCTATGGAGATAAGCATTTCATTATATCTGATATTAGAGTGGGATGGGTATTGACTGGATCACTGAGTATACAAAGCCTGCTATTAATAGATATAATCGCTGCTCTCTTTAGATTATGATTTAGAAAACATGGAAGTGTCAGTGTCCAATTTTAACTCTATTAATACCTGTGGGTTGAATTATATCTGATTATTAATACAATATTGTTTCTTCCTACAGTTAATATTATTTTAACCTGTCCTATCACTGACACTACTCCATTCACCGTGAATTTAGTGCATTCAAAAATGGGTGCCACAGTTAAAGTGCTTGACTGCTAATCAAAGGGCTGAAGGTTCAAGTTTCCTTATAGGCATGTAGGAAGATCTACTTGCTATGGAGCATAATTCTACTCCACTCAACATCAATTGTTTTTCCTTTTTTATTTTTAAAATTGGCAAATATTTGCCCTGACTGTAGGAAAACATTGAGTGTGGAGTTACAGCCTTGGGGGGGCGGGGGAATAACATGATAGGTAAATTTTGAAGTAACTAAAAATATCATTAGTTTTGCCAAAAGACCAATATGTTTTTTAACAGTTTTATTCACATATAATTCATGTACAATACAACTCAATGGTTTAAATATATTAAAAAGAGTTATGAATTCATCACCACAATTGAGTTCAAAACTTTATTTTCATTCTTGTGTATATTATTATTTTGGCTCCCCATACCCCCTTCCAACCTTCCCTGCCATAACCCTAGGAAACTATTAATCTAGTTACCCTCTCTATAGATTATCTTTCCTGAATTTCATATAAAGAATAGCATTCAAAAAGATTCTAATAACAACAACAGGACACAGAGAAGCCTCAACCTACAATAAAGCATAAAACAATAAGTAGAACAAATACAAAATGGGTCAACATGTGAAACAAATGGTCAGATGTAAAATTATAAACTATTTCTACAGTAGGGAGCCCTGGTGTTGTAGCGGTTAGTGTTGGGCTTGATCCGCATGGTTAGCAGTTAAAAACCACAAGCAGCACTGTGAGAGAAAGACTGGACTTTCAATTCCCACAAACAGTGACCGTCTCAGAAACCCATAAGGGGTGTCTAAGAGTGAGCATCAACTTGATGGCAGTGAGTTTGGTTTGGGTTTGACGTCTACAGTCATCTATTTTTTCTGTGGACAAGACTATGCACATCTTTGGCCAATAGACCAAAGGGCTTCAATGGAAGCTTCATTCGCGTTGGGGTTCTGTAAATGGATTTTGGACTTTCACTGACATCAATATCCTTTTGCAACCAGGTGCTCAGAATTTAAGCTATCATCACCCTCTCATTGTGGATTTTTTTATTAATAATCTTTTGACCACAGTGGATGATGTGCTTCATCCATGAGGATTTAGTTTATGCCTAA